TGATTGAGCCTTCTTCAAATGTAATGATTATCAAAATTTCTTAATAAATATAGTCATTACTTATATTATATATACACGTTATACTTATTATATTACATATTAGTTATTATATATACACATATACCTGCAATTGTTTTTTTATTCATTTCATCGTCCATTCCTCAAAAATAAGTTACAAAAGAATCTTAAATGATCATTATATGTATATATTTTTTTTGTAAAGAGAGCACAATGAAAGTTTTTTGCTAATTGCGTATTTCTACAATAAATAATGTGAATTGCTTTTCAAGAAAAGTATTAATTGTTACTAAAAGTGTAAAATCACCTTCCTTTATATAAATTATTTCACAATTTATATAATGGAAGATGATTTCTTTTTTATTTTTTGAAATTATTTGTGATACGATTAGAATAAATTATTTGAATTTAGCGGCGAGAAATCACGTTTTTAAAGTCAATCTTATTAGAAAATACCGTAATTCAATACTGTATGTAGAAGTACTAAGCAAATGCATTTTGAATTTGCCGCTTAATGTGACGTAGAGTGAGTGACATTTCTGATTGGTTGTCTGGAACTATCATGCGCGTGAGCATACCCTTGTCTTTATACCATGTATCTCGTTACGTGGTTATAATAAAGTAAAGCCGGCCCTGGGTCTACGGGACGGGCGCTCGCGGTGCAGCGATTTGTAGGTTAGGTTAGGTCGAACGTCGCGCGGAACAACGCGATGTTTACGGCGAGCGGCGGCGGAGGGATTATTTTGATTACGTGGCGAACGCGGAGCGCTCGAGCCTCGTCTCGAGCGACTCGACGTTACTGTTGACCTCGGCGAGAACGTGACCGACGCACAGTGATGCCAGATAAGAGACCGCGGACGGTTGAGCAGCAACAGCAGCAGCGATGATCCTATTCAGAGTGGGCTCGATCTTCGGCTTCCTGATCCTGGTCAGCGGATTCCGGGAGTACGGTAAGAGGGACCTGATCGGCCTGCGGGAGGAGGTACGGTCCATGTTCGATTACGCCTACTCCGGCTACCTGACGCACGCCTATCCGTACGACGAGCTGCGCTCGCTGAGCTGCGACGGCTTCGACACCTGGGGCAGCTTCTCCCTGACCCTGATCGACGCCCTGGACACGCTCGCGGTTATGGGCAACTACTCCGAGTTCCGCCGCGTTGCCGAGCTGATCGGCGCGCGGGCGAACTTCGAGGCCAACATCAACGTGTCGGTGTTCGAGACGAATATCCGGGTGGTCGGCGGGCTGCTGAGCGCCCATCTGCTGTCGCGCCGTGCCGGCGTCAAGCTGGAGCCCGGCTGGCCGTGCAACGGCCCGCTGCTGCGCCTCGCCGAGGACATGGCCAAGCGGCTGATCGCCGCGTTCGACACGCCCACGGGGATGCCGTACGGCACGGTAAATCTCAAGTACGGCGTGCCGGAGGGTGAGACCAGCATCACGTGCACGGCCGGCATCGGCACCTTCCTGCTGGAATTCGGCACTCTCTCCCGGCTGACCGGCGACCCGCTGTACGAGGAGGTCGCCATGAACGCCATAAAGGCGCTGCACTACTACAAGTCCAGCATCGGCCTAGTCGGCAATCACATAGACGTCCTCACCGGCCACTGGACCGCCCAGGATTCCGGGATAGGCGCCGGCATAGACTCCTACTTTGAATACCTGGCGAAAGGTACGCTGCTCTTTCAGGATCCCCTGCTGGCCACGATCTTTCAGGAGCACAAGCAGGCCATCGAGAAGTACGTCCGTCGGGAGGACTGGCACCTCTGGGTCTCCATGACCAAGGGCCAGGTGACCCTACCGGTCTTTCAGTCTCTGGACGCGTATTGGCCCGGGGTGCTGAGCCTCTTCGGCGAGATCAGCGACGCGATGAAATCCCTGCACAACTACCATCGCGTGTGGAAACAGTTCGGATTCACCCCGGAATTCTACAACATACCGCAGGCCGAGGCGGGGACCAACAGGGAGGGCTATCCGTTGAGGCCGGAGCTTATCGAGTCCGTCATGTATCTTTACAGGGCGACCAGAGATCCGTATCTGATTCAAGTAGGGGTGGACATCCTGAGGAGCCTGCAGTACAGCGCGAGGACCACGTGCGGCTACGCGACCATCAACGACGTCCGGGACCACCGGAAAGCGGACCGAATGGAATCCTTCTTCCTCGCGGAGACCACCAAGTACCTGTACCTTCTTTTCGACACCGACAACTTTATCCACAACACCGGCACCGAGGGCGAGATAATCGACACTCAATGGGGCCAGTGCGTGGTGGACGCCGGTGGATACATCTTCAATACCGAGGCCCACCCGATCGATCCCGGAGCTCTCTACTGTTGCCGGCCAGCGCAGGAGATTTTCCCGGAGGAGAGGTCGACCCTGAGGAGATTCGTCCCGACGAGAGACTCGTCGGGGGACGTCTCGTTGGACGAGCTTAACCCTGAAACGGATGCATCCGCCGGCAAGAATCCAGACGTGCTGCCGATCACGATTACGAAGCTCTCCGAGATCAGGCACTACTCCGCGAGCGAGAAGGAGGACGCTGCTTTCAACGAGAGCGCTTCGTCGCCGAACGTCACGGACCGTCCCGTCGAACGCGAGAACGGCGAGGAGACCGAGAAGTCGAATCGGAGCGAAATCCGATTGTCGACGACGCAGGTCCTTCCGCCGTCGGCGACGATCTACAAGGCCGACGACAGCGACTGTGCCGACGGTGCCGACAGCTTTGAACCCCCGATATTGTCCGACGGACAGTACTCCGCTTCTGGACTCGCGACGGAGAACGGCGCGCGACGGAACGCCACGCCGAGCCCCGTCAGGGCCAGATTCGAGCCGCAAATAATGCTGGAGAACATCAGACACGGAAATCTGTATCCGACCAACGTCACAGCGAGGCAGAACTATCAGATTCTGTCCTGTCAGACTCAACCATTCCTACAACGAATGTCGATCATAGGAGAATTTTTTTAAAGAGGAAAACGCGCCGGAGAGAAGGACTTTCGTACGAATCCGCCACGGCGGTTCTTAAAGTATTTTTTATTCGCGCGTCTTTGTTACGAGAGTGAAATCTACACGGGGCCTGCGTGTCTCGCGTATGTTGTACTTTAGAATATATTCCTGTGATATAATTGTTGTTGTATAGTTTCTAACAAATATAAGATATTACAAGCATGTGACAGTCTTTTCGCACTGGCAACTTAATTTTTTTATTTCCAACACAGAGGATGAAAGTCATTTAACGTTTTATACTGATATTTGATATTTTATATGCAGAGTGTAAATAAATTCTTTTTCTGTACACAACTCACAACAAGTTCTCCTCTATTGATGTTTAAATTTTTTTATATATGTATAATTCAATTCACTTTTTTATGGGAGAAAATAATTTTATGTTTCATAATTGTGAAGTAAAAAATAACTCAGATATCACTATAATACAAAATAAATCGCTTTGGTTTTAATTTAATTGTGAAATGCAGGAATGAAGGAATATACATGTTATTTATTCGTAGATATGCCCATATAGAAAGGTCAAAGCAAAGGTCCTTTTACTCTACACAGTTCAACCCGAAAAAAATCACGTTACAAAGTTACATAACGACATCGTGTAATTAAAAATAAGTAACTCACATAACGGATCGTTCCAAATCAATACGTGATACTTTTTCAAAATTACATGGTATTAGAAATAATTTCATCTATCATATGTTCTTATAATTATCCAATTTTAAATAATAAATAATAGAGATAGAAGAATAGACAAAAATATATGTATCCTGAGGAGCATTAATTCGCTGGGTCATAGTAGAATAAAAATAGTTTATTCTTTTCATTGAAAATAGAACGATACGTATGAATATACTTTCGTCCAAACATGTGGTGGTTCTGATAAGAACCATTTATTAGTTCTGAAAAGAACTGTTTAACTGAGACAAATTTTTGCAACTACTTGTGCTAATCAATTTTTTATCGAATCGCTCAATTTTTCAAAATATTGAGGCTTAAGCCTTCCCATATGTGTTCCTCGTGTGCGCATAACAAGATTTTTTTTAGTTTTCTCATGACCACAATCCCACAAATTCGCAATTACTCCCCAAATATTTTCAATTAAATAAAATAAAAATAGAACTCTCGAGAATGTCAAATTACAAATAGAAACGGGCTAATGAGAGTCAATCTATGGTAATTAGTGCGAATTTATACTTAATATTTTATTGAACTAATACTTATAATAATTTGACAAATTAGTTCAATAAAATATTAAGTATAAATTCGCACTAATTACCGTTGACTCTCATTAGCCCGTTTCTATTTGTAATTTTCAATTAAATTAAGATCCGGGGATTTGGGTGGCCAATCAAGAACTTCAATCTCTGGGTGTTGTGTGAACTATTCTTTTACTATATGGGAAGTATATGGACAGCATTATTATCATGAATAAATCGAAAAATGTCGGCATATCTTTTCTTACCATTACTCGAAAAAAATAACGATTTATTATTTTCTTGTTACTTTCTTGTAACAATAAAAAATTATTAGAGTTAAAAATTACATTATTTGATAATTAATATTAAATGTAATAATAAATATAAAACATGAAATTCTCTAAACTATAGTCTCTGTATATAGAATAAGTTTTTCTTTATATTAATTTTATTTAATAATTTTTCTAATTTCTCTTATATTATCTAATACCTTTATTTTTAGTACTCATTTATATAAGTTTAGATTAAATATTATTTTATAATTGTTAAACGTTAATGTCATTATTAAGAGTAGATATTTCAAAATTTACTTTTAATATTAAAAATTAAAATTTTCGATGTAATATAGATTATCAAAATGCAACCTAAAATATAAAATATAAAATATTTTTTAAGAATGTCTATATTTCATCGAAATTAAAGTAATGATAAGAGTAACGGATTCTATGAATGTTTGTGTATACATCTAAAATATATTATTCTTAGAACTTTCTGTTTTCCTAATACTGTTTTGTAAATATATTTTAAGAATTTTGAAACCTCTTCTGCCATTCCGACCGAGTCATATTACCGACAGTATACCTATTATAATCAACATGGCGATGAGATAGTAGCTTGTTTTTGATACACTCGTGAAACGTACGATTTGAAGTATAAATTGTACATACGAGCGATACTCGTATCAATAATATAAATAGTGTAATATTAATATTATAAAATCGATAAAGATTACTTTTCTTGAATTATTTCTTGTGTCACTTCATCATGGCTGATAAAAGACAGCACAGTTTGTCGGTGAGAATAAAATTGTTGTACATGCGGCTAAATGTTAAATAAAATACAACTTTTTGCTGGTTTTGTAAACGAAAGCATTGCCGTATAAACAAATTGCAATAATATCGTTTATTTTATACAAGTTATCTAATTTATAACATCTGAAATACTACCTAACCTCTTTGTTTAAAAAAAAATATATTTTGATCCTTAATTTGTATTATGTATGTAGAAAGAAGAAATAGCGAAGCAGTTTATGCTACCAGAGAGGAAAAGCAAAATCGCGACGTTATTGAAACAGGATGGTCAAGCGTATTGTATTTGTAGAAGCTCCGACAGTTCTCGTTTTATGATGTGAGTAAAATTGGAATCAATGCTTAGGATTATTTTTGTCTCATCTTTGCTAATTTTAGACAAAATTGTGACTCTCACATCTTCAATTATTTCAGAGGATGCGATGCATGTGAAGAGTGGTACCATGGTGACTGCATAAATATAACTGAAAAAGAAGCAAAACATATAAAGCAATTTTTCTGTGTTGTAAGCGAGTGATATTTGTATAAATGAATTTTTTTAAAATTATACATTGATAGGCAACTTAATATAAAATAATTATTATATTCAGCGTTGTAGAGAGGAAGATTCGTCGTTGATAACGCGATACAAACCACGTAAGACTGATCAAGATGACAGGAAACATAGAAAATATAAAGAGAAAGAAAGAGGATATCGATACGAGTATGATGCGCCATGGAGTTCAAACGTAGAAAAGAAATCCTCTAAACGTTGCGGAGAGTGTACAGGATGTCTGCGTATGGAAAATTGTGGCAAGTGTGACGCTTGCAGGTAATGTAACAAAAGAATGATTGACAAAGCTATTATTTGTGCGGAGCATCTTATAAAATTAATAAGTACTGATGAGAACGTGCCATAACGGTCTTAGATGTTTCTGATATATAATTTTGTGTGAATTTATTTACTACATATGACAATAATCAATACAAATTAAAAGGGCGAAGTAAGAGTCAAAAGTAAAATTACATTTAAAATAATATTAAAATGTCAACATATTTAATTCTAGATTTGAAAAACAATAGAATATAATTACAAAAATTACTTAAAACTAAAAACATGATGAACGTTACGTAACAAGTTTCGACTCGTAGATTGAGTCCTCTTCAGACTTCATATTGTCTTCTTCACGGATAAAATTATTGTAAATAGCCAAATATATAATATGTTGTTGAAAAATTGGTAATTTTTATATTAACGAAATTTCTGTAAAATTAATGTAACGCTATACAATATCGTATGGGAATGTTTAAGTTTTTAAGGAAACACCAAAACAATAGTAACACCAAATTATAAAGTAGATATAAATTATGTCCATTAGTTAAAATATGGTGAATGTGGATAACAGTATGTGTTACTATGTATGTAGATTCTTAAAAATGAACGCCGAAATTTTTTCTTAATGTTAAATGGTTCAAGATGCTATGAGCATCAAAATTAAATAAGATGAAAATATTCAAAGACTCTTAATATAACAATAATCAACATAAATTAGAAGGGCAAAGTAAGAGTCAGAAGTAAAATTACATTTAAAATAATATTAAAATGTCAACATATTTAATTCTAAATGTAAAACACAATAGAATATACAAAAATTACTTAAAATTAAAAACATGATGCACGTAACAAGTTTCGACTCTTCGATTGAGTCCTCTTTAGACTTCAAAATAGTCTCTTTCGTAGATAAAATTATTATAGACAGTCAAAATAGCATCAAAATTGTTAGATTGTTAGTCAATTTAACTCGTGATAGTTTATTAGAGTTTGCGTTGTAAGTCTGAAAAAATTTTGGCACACATTTTTAAGAATCTACATAGTATATAAATTTACACGAAATTATATATCAGAAATATCTAAGATACAGCTTGACCGTTACAGCACGTACTCGTCGGTACTTATTAGTTTAAACTCTCACAGTCCAACAAGATTTAATATTATAAAATTAATCTTTTTATATTTTATACGCGTAGGCATTTGAAGAAATTTGGACCTTCGGTACGACTGAAACTTAGATGTATTCAACGGACTTGCCGTGTAATAGGCGATCCGTTGAAACCTTCCAAGAGTCTCAACAAAGGAACGAAATTGGTTAAAAGACGAAAGAGGGATTCGAGTAACGAGAGGAACGAGTATTTGGAGCCCCCGCGCCACTGCTATGGACCTACATGTACGAAGCAATCGCGACCTGGAAGCAAGTATTGCTCCGATGATTGTGGCTTGAAGTTGGCGACGAGTAGGATCTATCAGGTGCTACCGCAGCGGATACAGGAATGGTCATTGACCACGTGCATCGCGGAGCAGAATAACAGACGCGCTCTGGAAACCGTGAGAAAGCAGCAGCATGACGTCCGTAGGATACTGCAAGAATTAGAGAAGAGACACGTCGAGTTGGATCGTATTGTTGAACGCGCGAAACACGCGACCATCGATCCACAAGCCGAAGTGGATGACAACGACGACACAGAGAGCAGCATGTACTGTATAACGTGCGGCCACGAAGTTAACTCCAGAACCGCCATTAAACACATGGAGAAATGTTTTAATAAGGTATTACGAGGCGCGGTTGCAGAAAATTGTGTAGCTGTCGATTACTTGGGTTTACGAATTTCTAAATGGTTATAAAATTGAGTTTATAAATGAGAGAGCATTTACGTAAACTTAAAATATGTGTGTATATTTATTATTTTTGCCAGTCTCACTTTAGTCAATAAATTTTATAATCAAAGATAGATAAAGGCAAATAAGAGTCAATTATAAAATTGTATACAACAATTCATAGCATGATAAAATCTTTAATAGCAGAGTCTAAAAAACTATATAAAAATTTTCCTTACTCTAATT